AGGGATGCACCGATACCGATACTGGTATCGGTCCCGATACTGAGCTCCTGTACTCGTACTCGTTAAAATGCCCCGATACCAGCGAATATATAGTGGTAAATACATGGAAAAATCAATTTCTTTGGATTTTGATAGATACAAACCAAAAGATATAATAATTAACAACAACCTTAATTAATAATAAACTTTAAATTATACACTTAAAAGTAAAATTATATAATTTGATGAGTGCTGCTACACTGGAAATGCCCATTCGTTAACAGACTATAAGTTATCTATTTTTATTTACTAACATATCAGATATTGCATGATACAGTGAGTATAGAAAAGAATCACCCCCCTTTAAAATAATCACATTCTGTTGCTTTGCAGCCCAGCCTGAAATGAAGACTGTATATGGCCACTGTATATGCAGTCATACCAACAAAGTATCACAAGACCACTAAGGTTATTAAGAATCACCTCATGATCTCTCCGACGATGGCCTTGACCCCGTACTCTGAGCTCCAGGCAGCCACAGCTTGAGCACATACTGACGCCAGCTGCTCAAAGTGCTGCAAGAGCTGAATCACCTTCACACATGCTCCTGTACAGGAAAGAGAAAATATTCAGGACAACTCAGCTCAACATCTACAACATTGCAAACCCATTCACGGTGTACATATAAACCTACCTAACATGTGATTGTATTTCTTCACCATGATTCCTAGCACATGAATGATGGCATCTCTGGTGGATTTGCTCTTCACGTGGCTTATGGTGGGGTTTTCCAGGAGTTTATAGCAACAGCATGTCACACAGCTACATAAAAATGGACAAACATTAGACAAGTAGAAACTGACACATGTGATCATAATGATATCTTAAAGGGTTAGTTCAACCAAAAAAAAAAATTCTGTCATTAATTACTCACCCTCATGTCGTTCCAAACCCATAAGACCTTCGTTCAACTTCGGAACACAAATTTATTTTTGAAAAGATTTTCAAAAAAATAATACTTTTATTATTTAAAAGATATTTTTGATGGAATCTGAGAGCTGTCTGACCCTGCATAGACAGCAATGCAACTGAAATGTTCTCAAGTCCAGAAATATAGCAAGGAGATAGGTAAAATAATCTATGTGACATCAGTGGTTCAACCGCAATTATACGAAGCTACGAGAATACTTTGTGCGCAAAAGAAAAAAAAACGACTTTATTCAACAATTCGTCTCCTCCGCATCACCCTGTAGCGCCATTTTGGAGAGTATCCGCTGGACGTAAACAATGTATGCAGTTCTGTGTCAGCTGCGTCACACGGATACACTGTTTTCGTTCAGATCAAATGACAACAACGTAGGAAACAGATCCGGCGAGACGCAGCTCTATGCAGGGTCAGACAGCTCTCAGATTCCATCAAAAATATCTTAATTTGTGTTCCGAAGATGAACGAAGGTCTTACGGGTTTGGAACGACATGAGGGTGAGTAATTAATGACAGAATTTTCATTTTTGGGTGAACTAACCCTTTAAGACATATAGAGCTACAAAGATTAAACAGAGAAAGGTGACATTTTAAGAGGAAAATCTACCAGAATTTACCTGACAAACTCCTCCTCCACTAGAGACAGACTCCACAGTGTGCGAATGTCCAGCTGCAGCAGTTGAGTCAAACACTGAAGAACTTTCTCTCTCTCACTGTCCCACTGCAGGAGACCTTTTCCGGCAACTTTATCCTTCTTGCGACCCTGAGACAAACACAAAGAGATGTTTAATATGGTGTATACACAAAATCAACAAGCTTAGAAACAATAGTTGTTGCCCTCAGATTACCAAAGAAAACATTCACAGC